CGTGAGGTGCGGGACCCATAAGGAACAATTTCCGTCGCAGACTTCCTCGCCAGTCACTCACAGACGAGGCTCCCGCTTAATAATTCTGGCAAATTCAAGCCTGAAGACACCCCAAACTGACGACAGTTACATGTGTCTGATGACCCGCTCGGATTATCAGCATGAGGTGCGGGCCCCATAGGGAGGAGGTCCCGCCTGAGACTTCCTCGCAATTCGCTCACAGACGAGGCTTCCACGTGAGACTTTTTTCATTATACTCGAGCCAGAGGAGCCCAAACGTGACGACAGTTACAAGTTCTGGATGACCCGTTCGGATTACCAACGTGAAGTGCGGGCCCCATAGGGATGGGGGCACCCGCCTGAGACTTCCCTGCGTTTCACTCACAGACGGGGTTTCCGCAAAACTTCCTCCATATTCAAGCCCGAGGAGCCCCAAAATGACGACAGTTACAGGTTACCGATGACCCGCTCGGATTTCCAACATGAAGCGCGGGCCCAATAGGGAGGAGGTCCCGCCTGAGACTTCCTCGAAATTCACTCACCGACGAGGCTCCCGCCTGAGACTTCCTCTGTCTGAGGAGACCAAAAGTGACGACACTTACATGTGTCCGATGACCCGCTTGGATTACTAATGCGAAGTGCGGGTTCCATAGGGAGGGGGCTCCTGCCTGAGACTTCTTTGCAATTCACTCACCGATGAGGTTCCCGCCTGAGACTTCCTCCAAAACATGAAGTGCGGGCCTCACAGGGAAAGGGCTCCCGCCTGAGACTTCCTCGCAATTCACACACAGACGACTCTCCCGCCTGCGATTTCTTCCATACTCAAGCCAGAGGAGCCCAAAAGTGACGACAGTTACGGCTTACCGATGACCCGCTCGGATTACCAACGTGAAGTGCGGGCCCCATAGGGATGGGGGCACCCGCCTGAGACTTCCTCGCAATTCACCCACCGACGAGGCTCCCGCCTGAGACTTCCTCTATACTCGAGCCAGAGGGGGCCAACAGTGACGACAGTTACATATTTTGGATGACCCGCCCGAATTAATAACATGACCTGCGGGGCCCATAGGGAGGGGGTTCCCGCCTGAGACTTCCTCACTATTCACTCACACACGAGGCTCCCGCCTGAGACTTTCTCCATATTCAAGCCTGAGGAGCCCAGAAACGACGATAGTTACATGTGTCCGATGACCTGTTCGGATTGCCAACATGAAGTGCGGGCCCCATAGGGATGGGGGCTCCCGCCTGAGATTTCCTTGCAGTTCACTCACAGACGATGCTTCCGCCTGAGACTTCCGCCATATTCAAGCCTGAGGAACCCAAACGTGACGACACTTACAAGTTCCCGATGACCCGCTCGGATTACTAATGTGAAGTGCGGGCCCCATAGGGAGGGGGTTCCCGCCTGAGACTTCCTCGCAATTCACTCACAGACGAGGCTCCCGCCTGAGACTTCCTCCATACTCAAGCCCGAGGAGCCCAAAAGTGACGACAGTTACAAGTTTCCGGTGACCCGCTCGGATTACCAACATGAAGTGCGGGCCTCACAGGGAAAGGGCCCCCGCCTGAGACTTCCTCGGGCTTCCTCGCAATTCACTCACCGACGAGACTCCCGCCGGAGACTTCCTCTATACTCGAGCCAGAGGAGGTCAACAGTGACGACAGTTACATGTTCTGGATGACCCGCCCGGATTAGTAACAGGACCTGCGGGGCCCATAGGGAGGGGGCTCCCGCCTGAGATTTCCTCACTATTCACTCACAGACGAGGCTCCCGCTTGAGACTTCCTCCATCTTCAAGATGGGGAGTGAGTGATGACGAAGTGACGAGTTTATTACGATGAGGATGAGCGAATGAGTGGTGATTACGAATAGGGATTCAGTTTGTGAGTGTGATGATGATGGTGATCATGAAAGCGTGTGAGTGTGTGGTTGATGAGGACGACGATGATGATGAATCAAGGAGTGAGTGGGAGTGAGTGGTGCGGAGGAAGAGAGGGGGTGTGGGTGAGGACTGCGCGGGGTGTCCAGAGAGAACAAGAACCACACTTAGGATGTTGGGAACAATGCAAAGTGCAATTTGCACCAACATCTGGATCATGCGTGGACGCCCCGCGATCACTTGGCATGGGTTTGTGTGCAATACCAATACCCCCCAACCATCCCCTACAAAAGTCATACAGCATGCACTTTGCACCAACATCTGGATTATGCGCGCACGCCTCGCGCGCACATTGCATTGGCTTTTGACAGGGTTGGCGGGAGGGCAGGCATATTGTATGCCCACCATCCTTGTCAAAGAACAAATGCAAAGCGATCGTGGGTGCACACCCGCACGCTACAAACCTGACGTCACGTTGCACGGTTTTTGACAGGGACGGTGGAAGGGCCGACATATTGGAGAGAGCGTGATCCACCGCCGCTTTACTGCTTGGAAAATTGCCAACCTTTTCCTCCAGAACCCGGGGGTCGCCCCCCCCCCCTCCAAAAATCCCCCCCCCCCTGCTGGACCCCCCCCCCCCCCCCCCGGCCCAAAAAAACCCCCCCCTCCCCTAACCCCTTCCATTCCCCCCCCCCCCCCTCGAAAACCGGGAGGGGGTCACTACCTGTTCGAACCCCCCCCCCTCCCCTCCGGATCCGGAAAAACCGGGGGGGTCACTACCGGTTCGAACCCCCCCCCCCTCCTCGAAAACCGGAGGGGGGTCACTACCGGTTCGAACCCCTCCCCCCCCCCCACTCACCGCCAGCAAACGACTCTCGGTCCCTACCACCGTCCGCATCACATCCCCCACTGTTGTTCCCAGCACCACTGTCCTCACCACCATTGTCCCCACTGGTTCCACCACCGTCTCTACTGTCCCCACCAGTGCCCCGACCACTGTCGCACTGTCCCCACTGTCCCCACCACTGTTCCCACCACGGTTCCACTCTCCCCACTGTCTCCACGGCCCCAACCACTGCCCGACTATCCCCACTGTCCCCACTGTCCCACTGACTCCTCCGCTGTCCCACTGAGCTGTCCCACTGTTCCCACCACTGTCCCCACTGTCCCCACCACTGTCCCCACTGTACCTCTGTCCCATTGTCCCACCGCCGTCCTCGCCACCGCCTTCACCACTGTCCCCACCACCATTGTACCCTCCACTGTCCCACTGTTTCCACCTCATTCCCACTGTCCCCACACCACTGTCCCCACCACCACCGTCCCCACCACTGTCCACTGTCCCCCCTGTTCCCACCATTGTCCCCACCACTGTCCCCACCACTACCGTCCCCACCACTGTCCCACTGTCCCACTGTCCCCTCACCACGGTCCCCACCAACACCGTCCCCACCACTGTCCGCACCCCCACTCGGTTTTCGAGGGGGGGGGGTTCGAACCGGTAGTGACCCCCCCTCGGTTTTCGAGGGGGGGGGGGGGGTTTCGAACCGGTAGTGACCCCCCCCTTTTCATGAGGGGTTCGAACTGGTAGTGACCCCCCCGGTTTTCCGGAGGGGGGTGGGTTCGAACCGGTAGTGACCCCCCCCGGTTTTCCGCCAGCAGCGGTAGAACACGCTCTTTCACAGCCCAATGTGGCTCACCTGGTGCGCGCGGCGCAGCTGGCATGTGTGGCGCACCTCGCGGGCTTCGCACACCCGGCTGGCGTCTGCATTCGTTCCCGATGGTTGTCGATGGTGGCCCCTGCCCGTGCTGAGACTCGGGTGCTACTTGTGTGTTGGGAGGGCGGGTGGGAAGGAGCGAGACCCCTCCCCCCCATCCCCCTCCCCCCTCCCTCTGGCTTCGGAAGGGGGGGGCTGTTCGCGAGGGCCCCCTGGCGGCCGCTACAGTGGGGAAGAAGACTCCCGCCCTGCTTCACTCAGGAGGGAAAAAAAACAGACAGACACAATTAATCGTCGATTCCCCAGAACATATAAGAAAATATAGGAAGTGGGGGGGAAGACAAAAACATAGGAAAAATTGGAAAACATCGGACATCCTTTTATTTGTGTGTATTTATTTGTGTGTCCCGGGGCCCCTTCATTCACGCAGGACAGCGGATGTCTGGGCTCGACCCGTGCCCGCGGTTGCTTTCTCTTCCCGTCTCGTTGGTGTCGCCAGTGCCAGGAGTGAATTCAGCGTGAATCTGTCTCGTTTTTTCTTCGTCCGTTTTCTGTTCCATCTCACTTGCACACGTCCATCGGTCCTGCGGTTTGACCGTGCGTGTGAATACCGTGCGGACAACAGGCTTCGTGAGGGGGCAAGATTCTTGCCCCCCCCCTTCGCTTCCGCCGAAAGTAGTTGCGGATCCATCCCGCCGCTGGCCCGACCGCGTGTGGAGTCCAACTCGCCGCAGCCATGCCCACCGAACTGGATCGGCATCGTGATTGCACGATTGAGACTGTGTCTGGGCCCCTCCGGCCTGCGAGCCGCAGCCCCTGACCCAGGCTGCAGACCAAAATGTTGGCCCCAGCTGCGCCTACGCAACAGCGGCCGCGCTTTTTGAGCTCCAGCCATTGCCGTCGTCAGAGTCCTACGCGCACGCCAACCACTTGAAGGCCTACGCTCGCAGGGAGTCGATTCGAGTTCAGGCGTGCCCGACAGACTACCCCGCCAGTTTGCAGACCTTCAAGGACCAGAACCCTTCGCTGCTCTACGTCGTCTACTCAGCCGAGCCCCAGGGCGGCGTGGCTGTGCGCGGCTGTGGGCTCGCCTTGACCAAACATCCCGACCCGTCGTTCCAGGTCCTCGGCCCGGCGAGGCCCCCTTGCCTCCGCCTCCCACCGCCGACGACGACGACGACGACGACGACGACGACGACGACGACGACGACGACGACGACCGTCGGCGGCCTCCGGCGGCCTCCAGCAGCCTTGGGGCGGCAACGCGGGGGGGCGTAGGCGCCGCCGGCGGCCTGCAGCGGCCACCAGTGGCCCGGGGGCGGCGGCCGCGCTGCGGCGACGATTCGATGAGGTCAAGGCTGGCCGCGGGCCCGTCCGGCGGCGGCGGGCTGGCCGCTCCGAGGCTGGGACGCCGCGGACGGTCGGTGGTCGCAGCCGGAGCCGTACTCGCTGCCGGGGGAGGCCGCCCCCCGCGGGGGTCGGGGCCCAGGCATGCTCGTGTCGTAGAGCGTCGGCCACGCGCAGAGGGGGGTAGCCAGGGGCAGCGATAGGGGAGACAGGCACATGGCATAGGGGGGGACGCATCGACCCCAAATCGCCGATTGATCGCCGATATGGGCCCGATAGCCTCAACCTGCCCAGGAACGTGCGGACTCACTACCGGGGGCCCATCGCCGATCTATCGGCGATGTATCGCCCATCCGAGGTCGATGTCTCCCCCCTATGCATATCCCCCCGTATCGTTGCCCCTCAAGTAATTAGGGGGGAAGGCTGGCTAGAAGCACCCCTGCTTCTCAGACGGCGCGGGCCTTGGCTGTAGATGTAAGTCCCGTGCCTTCTACGTAAGAAGCAGCCTCCTCCTAAGAAGCCTGCCCCACTCCCCTTCACCCCGTTGTGCGCGCCGCCAAGCAAGTCTGGGACGGATCGCGCATGGCGGGGCGATGGGGGTACGGTCGGGAAATGTTCGGTAGCGTGCCGCTCCGCCTGTCCTGGCCCAGCACGCCCGGGCGCGACACGCTGTCCACTTCCGGGTCCCCCAGCGTCAGTGTCACGAGCCTCTCCGAGCCCGCCGGCCCGCGGAGCGACACGTTATCCGCTCGAAGGAGCGTGTCGCTGGGGTCGCTGTGGCGACACGCTGCAGTGGAGACCCATGCCAAGAAACACCCTGCTTGCCTCCAGGGTGCCCCTGGGTTTCTTGGGTTTCGATGGTTTCGCTACGGAAAGCGCGACGCTCCGACACCACAGAATCAGTGGACGGGACGCCCTGGGGTCTCAGGGTCGGGCTTCTTGTTGAAGGTTTCTTGTGGACTGGCCTCCATTGTAAGCAAAGTTCCCGCGGTCCGCGAAGTTAGGTGACCTTGAGGTTCGACGATGGAAGGCTGGGGATCGGGGGATCGAGGTCGGGGATCGGCGATCAGGGCAGGCAGGACCCAGACCCAGACATGCGACGTCCAGAGTTTTTCCAGCACGGGGTCCCAAGAAGTCTCGAGCGTTCGTTCCCCTGGGGCAGGTTCTTCAGCCCGAGCTGTTCCTTCGCCGCCCTGGGGCCCCGGTGAGCCCCCCTCGAGGCCAGGAAAAGCCAAAGTTTTTTTGCGACGCGAGCATTTCCGGGGACATCCAACTCGTGGGATGCAACACCTGGGAGGTTACACCCCTGGGCTTACTCTGGCCGGAGGCCCTCCAGTCGGGCATCATCGCCCTGAATCGTTCCAGCGACGACCTTCCAGAAGTTGCCTCCTAACATCTAGGCCTCCTAGATGGGGGAAGGAGTAAATGGTGTCGGAGGATCGCGCCGCATCGCCGATGTCTCGGCGATGCATCGGCGATGCGGCTTGATGTGGAGCCAGATTTTCTCCGCGCTGGCATCGCCGATGCATCGGCGATGTATCGCCGATGTATCGGCGATGCGGCGCGATCCTCCGACCCTATCTATGCCGACCCCATCTAGGAGGCCCCTATATCAGCTCGCAGGACTCGGGGCCCCGAGATGCTGCTTTCTCGCTCTCGGCCCTTGGGGGCCCCTGCCCGGCCGCGCGCCGCCGTGCTCGCTGCCGGGGGGGGGCCGCTCCCCGCGGGGCCAGCACTTCTTGAAAGACAGACGTCTGCTCTCTTACTCGCCGATTCTCTGGCGCTGCTGGTTCCCTGCTCTCTTCCTCTCTCCGCTTGCCCTCTCTTCCTGCTTCTGTGCGGTGACGCCGCGCTTGGGGTGGGCGGGGGGGGGGGCGCCTTCGGGCGCACCCCCTAACCTCGTGATCGCACGCTCTCTGACCCCGTGCTGCAAGGGATAAAATGCGCACGACTCTGACGGCTCCGCGCTGCCGCCTCGTGGGGGTTCGTCGGCGCCCCGTGCGTCTGGTGGGTCCGCCGAGGTTGCTCCACGTGGTCACCCAGAATGTGCGCTCGAGGGCGATCGTGGGCGCCTCGTGCCGCCTGGGTGGGTCCGCCGAGGTTGCGCCGCGCTGCCGCCCCGTGCCACCTGGTGGTCGCGTTGGCGCCCCGTGCGTTGAGCTTGCACCTCACAGCATGCACGATACTCACAACAGCACATAGCTTGCACCGCATAGCTTGCACCAGTAGAGCTTCGACAGCATAGCTGCTGCCTCCAGCTCATACCGTTCGGATTGTACGACGTATCTTACACCACAGAAGCACACCGCACGCGTGTCACCTCCGTCGCTTACAACACAGAGCTTACACGACATATGTTTCACGACATACCCTACGCTGCATAGCTTCACCTCCTCAGCGCAGCTGTTGTGGGTCCATGCTGGCGAACATTGCATACTAAGAAGTGAGACAGACTAACGAAGACAAACACGGACCCGACATCCCCCAATCGTTGCCAGCGCGGTGGTGGATGTCACCGGCCGCTTGGGTTATATGCGAGACGTGCACACAACAAGTTTCTCAGTTGACCTTGGCATCGCTTCTGTGCTTTACCAGGCTGATTTTAGGACGTACGCTTCGACGCTGGATTTCGAGACTTCTGCTGGGGGTAGGCAGTCGCATTGACATGCACTGCGCGTGGAGGATTGAACTCATGCGCGTAAGACCTTTCATCCAGATGGTCAAGACCGCTTCGGTGGAGCGTCAGCAGCACGTCTAACATTGCCTTGCGTCTGCGCTTCAACTCACGAGGTGTTGCAAGAGGGTGCCGACGAAGTCCAGCACAAGCGCAGCGGTTCACGCTTTCGTTTGCGGCCGTTCGATTGTGTCACCGCTTTGTCTGGCCGGCGGGGGTGCGATCAGGGCGTGGCTCATCGGGTCGGTGGTGAAATCCGATCTTTTTCCTCGCCGATCAACGATTCAGGCAGCTCGGTGGGCGGTGGGGGTAGGGTTCGGAAATCGCTGAACTCGCGGCGAAATCCGAACCTTCACCCCAGCCTCCCATCGATTCAGGAGAATCGATGGTTGGTGGGGATAGGGTTCGGATGTCGCCACCTATCCAGGCGGTGTTCCAGCTGATACTGCGGCGGAGCGCAGGGCTTCGCCCGGAGCACATCGGTCGAGAGCCGCCCTCCTCCCGCGAGAACAGCCGGCGGGCGGTCTTGCAGGGGCGACCCTCTGTCAGGCGCCTCTGTGTCCAAGCCCTGGCAACACTGGCAAGCACAGTCGAGAGCGCCTGCATGAGGAGCGCTTGGGTCTGAGGAGGGGCTCTGGTCTCCGGAGCACTCCTCAGATCTATGTTTAAGTCGGGCGTGTCCCCCTAGAGGGGGATCTCGACGAAAAAATACCCCCCAAATGATCAAACAATAATCCAAAAATTGTCTGGGGACTTTTTTTTTGAGTATTTTTTGACCCTTTTGGTGTACCTTTCGGGTATTTGTAATTTTTCGTCGAAAATCCCCCTGTGGGGGGACACGCCCGACATAAATCTGGGTGGGGGAGCCCATTCGTGGCCCAGGGCCGCCGTGGCGGGAGTAGCCCCCTCGCTCCTCATTTGGCGCTCCTCACGGGTAGCACCATGTCGATCACTGCAGGGCGCATCGTGCGCGCACTCGTGGCATCGGTGGCGTGCCACACGATTGGCCCCTGCGAGCGAGCAGCGCATCATCGCGGTGGTCGGGGCCGACGCGCCACGGAGGCACCGACGCGGCCGCCGCTGGGCGTTGGCGCAGGCGAGGGAGTGTGCAATTGCTCCTCCTCCTCCTCCTCCTCCTCCTCCTCCTCCTCCTCCTCGACGTCCTCCTCCACGTCTTCCTCCTCCTCCTCGTCCTTCTCCGCCTCCACCTTCTCCCCCTCCTCCTCCCCCTCCTCCTCCCCCTCCTCCTCCCCCTCCTCCTCTTTCTCCTCCTCCTCCTCCTCCTCCTCCTCCTCCTCCTCCTGTGCACCACTTCCACGCTCCAGATCTCGGCCGTCCGCATCCGCCTCCCTCCTCGACCCCCCCTCTCCCTCTACTTGCAGAGTACGTTCGATCGATTGGTGGTCTTGTTCGACACTGGTTTCTGCCAGCTCGATCCGATTCGATTCCGATATTCCGACGACTCGATGTTTCCGTGGCGTTTTTTTTCTGACTCCTGCCGGATCCGATTCGATTCGATTCCAGCTGCGAGACGATGTCCGACTCGATGCATGGTCCGATCCGTCCAGCTCACCGATTCCATGTTGACGGCTTCTGCATCTGCCACAATTTCGTAAAAATTTCCAGATCGCCGATATAGCCTTCCAAATCCCGCTGACCCCTTTGGATCCTTTTAGTATCCTGGGCTTCCGACGTTTGATTGTGTTCCGCAATGTGGCTCCCCGAGGTTGAACCCTTCCCCGGGACTGACTGTTCATCCCGAGTCGTTTGTTGACGGTCCTGGGGCATAATGGGGACCCCCAGGGCCGAAGACGGTCAACAATAAGCCGCCGCATTTCTCGACGCGATTCGGTCAGGGTTCCCTGCTCCTCCACCTCCGCCTCCTCTCGGCGGCGACCGAGGGGGGAAGTGGGAATGATGAGTTCTGCTCGGAGGGGGGCGGGCCTTCTCAAAAAGCCCTCCGGCCTTCTGAGAAGTGTCCTCTGCCTTCGAGGAGTCGTCGCACATTTCTCACAAGGCCTGATGCCTTCTGAGCCTTTTGAGAAGCCCGCCCCTTCTGACTTCCCCCTGGGCTCGCCGCCGATCCTCCTCCCCCCCGTCTCCGTCCTCCTCCTCCTCCTCCTCCTCCTCCTCCTCCTCCTCCTCCTCCTCCTCCTCCTCCCCCTCCTCCTCCCCCTCCTCCCCCTCCTTCCCCTCCATCACTTGTCCTTCGAAATAGTTCCTCCCTGCTGCACATCCAGACGTGTCGTTAGTGCGGGCAGGGCGTTTCGCTTGAGACTTCCTTACCAGTTATGGCCCTGAAGCTAGAGCTTCGCAACGGTTCCAAGGATGGAACACATATGGTTGTCAACATGTGGCTCTCGAGTTAGTGCCGCGCACATTCGTCTTGAAAAGTTCGCGGCATATTCAAGGAGCGGAGTGGGTAGTTTTCGAAATGTTGCTGTCGGGTTTGTGCCGTGCACATGTTT